TTACATTCAGAACCCACTAGCGTTGTTGAGCCGAGCGTAGGTATGTACCGCTTTTTTTCAGTCGATTGGATTTTGTTTGCTTAAGCAGCTAAATATCTTAGCATACATAAACGGGCCGCCATATTTAATCTAAGTATGTAAGCGAGTGCCGTGCAGTTGCCAGGCTCGCTAACTGAACTCCCTGTACCAATAATCTTACAAAATCTCGCCTAGCTTCTCCACTGTCACGAAATGCACTCGGGTGCCTCTTCCGGGACAAACTATATAAACCACTTGAGCGACCAAACTGCCAGCTTCAGTTATTTGTATTCTTTTGCAGAAACATAGCCTGGTTAGTGTAGTGGTCTGTTACCGCCGTGATAATAATAAGAAATTCCGTATTTGAAAGGATAAGAAGGAAATTTTATTGCTCCGGTATATATAATATCCGTTTTACTATAAAGCGGCTTTTTGGTTTAAATTTCTTATCACTGCCGTTTATAATCACTGGAATAATAGGAGTAAAATTATTTATAGTATGGAATTGTCTTTCCGGCTGGTTTATTTAGAATTTAAAGCGAATCTTTTAAAAGATTTTTATAATAAGTGGAAGATAGGCAAATTTGTACATATTGATTAATTTGGGCGAATATTTAAATATATTTTCTATAAGTAAATAGGCCACCTTTATATGAATTTTACTTTTCCTTTAGTTAAGTCCGGAGGTTGATTGTCATAGGTTGACATTAACTATATAGTGTGCATTCCAAGTTCTGCCTTGCAAGCAGAACATCATCCTATCTTTTGTAGGTTTGGCCATCTGGACATATGCACCCCAGCCTGTCATAGTATGTTCTGCTTAAACGGTGGGTTCGATTCCCGACCGTGGCAATTTCGAGGGCAATTTCGGGATACTCTTGTCGGCACTTAGTCGAGCGCAGCTCCTAAGAATGCAATGACAATTGAGAACCATGGATGCAAATCGAAGAGTACCGAAATACCACGTATCGGCCCATTGGAAAATGTCCAACTTAGCAGGAAGGTGCATTTTCAGGTAGTGCTATATAAGCCATCGCATTGCGATAAATCCTCCGCGACATTGTCGCCCTCGGAAATGGGGCCGGGGCTGAGGCCTTATCTTGAAGATTATTAAAAGATAACTTCGCTTTAAGGAGAGGTAGTGTCACAGGTTGACATTGGCTATATAGTGTGCATTCCGAGTTCTGCCTTGCAAGCAGAACATCGTCTTTTCTTTTATAGGGTTGGCCGTCTGGGCATATGTACCCTAGCCTGTCATATTGATATAGTATTATTATATTATACTTCGTCCACTTATATAATAATTTTTAAAAATTACTAAGAGATTACCTTTGTTTAACTATTAACTTCTTCAAATTCGTATACAGCAATACTATATTGCCCATGGAGAATAAAATTGACTGGTTAATATATTAACCGCTAATACTCTATAAAGTATACTAACTTTCTTTTTTATTTTTTCAATCTTTTTTGTCTTTTCTTAATTAACTTCCTACTTCTTATTAACAAAACACTAAGCGGTTTATTATTAATTTTGATAAAGCTCTTATTTCCTTCAATTTTTCTAATAGCGTTGTATATAATTCTAAAACTAACGAGATAATTATTAATAAAGCCGATTGAAGTAGTTAGAATAAATAGCAAACTACTTTTATTTTATACATTTTTATAAATAGAATTTAGAAGTTAAAATCTAAAGTTATTGTGAAGGATACGTCAAATACGAGTAAAAGAAAGATTACAAAAGATATATGTTAACGTGTGGCTAGTACTATG